ATCACAAGCATTCGATGATTATTATATAGAATTGTTATTGAACATTCTGTTGCATACACAAATGGTTTAGCAGAGTCGTTTATTAAACATCTACAAGTTATTGTTAAACCATTACTTATGAAAACTAAACTCTCAGCTTCTGTTTGGCATCATGTAATATTACATGTTGCGTCATTGGTTCGTATAAAACCAACTGTTTATTATTAATATTCACATTTGCAACTTGCATTTGGTCATGAACCTAATATTTATCACCTACGGGTTTTTGATTGTGACGTCCAAGTCCATGTTTCACCTCTCCAACGCACTAAAATGGATCCCCAACGAAAACTATGGATTTATGTGAGTTTTGATTCATCATCTATTATTAAGTATCTTGAACGTTTAATGAGTGATTTATTTATTACACGTTTTGGAGATTGTCATTTTAATGAAATGACTTTCCAATTTTGGAAGGGAAAAAACTATATCATGAAAAATAAGGTAAAATTTATTGGAATGAAACGATTTTATCTCACTTTGATTCCGCAAGAATCAATGTAAGCAAGAGTTTGAAAAAATTATTCATTAGCAAAAGGTTGCAAATCAATTACCTAATATATTTATTGACACAAAAAAAGTAATAAAGTCATGTATACCTAGTGGTGGAAATGGGCCGAGCCCAACAAAATTGTAGTTTATGTTGATAATTTAAATTTAATTGGAACTTTTGAAGAGCTCAACAAAATTGTAAATTATTTTAAAAATGAATTTGAAATGAAAGATTTGGGAAAAATTAAATCTTGTCTAAAATTGCAGTTTGAACACTTCCTAGAAGGATTATTTGTTCATCAATCTACATATACAGAAAAAGTTTTAAAAAGTTTTTATATGGATAATGCATCAATTGGCATCACATATAGTTGTTCGATCATTTGATATAAAAAAAGATCAATTTCGTCAACTTGAAGATAGAGAAAAAAATTATTGATCATGAAGTATCATATCTTAATGCAATTTAAACATTACCTTATCTTGCAAACTGCACTCGACGCGACATAATTTTTCTGTAAATCTCCTTGCAAGATATAGCTCTACATCAACTCAAAGACATTGAAATTGTGTTAAACGTGTTTTTCATTACCTAAAGGGTACTATTGATTTGAGATTATTTTATTCACAAAAGTCGAGATATTCTTTAGTGGGATATACAGATACAGATTATCTCTATGACTCATATAAAGTTAAATCACAAACAGGATATGTGTTTATATGTGGAAGAACAACTATATCATGGAGATGTGAAGTAATCATTGACAGAAATATCCTCAAATAATTCTATTGCAATCCATGAAGCAGGCCGAGAATGTGTATAATTGAGAAACATGACCATCAAATCCAAGTATCGTTAGGATTAACTTCAACAAAGATAGTTCAACAATTTTATATGAAAACAATGTTGTTTGTATTGCACAACTCAAATGACGCAATACCAAATGTGACATGGCGAAACATATTTCTCCAAAATTCTTCCATACGCATAATTTTCAGAAGAATGACAACATTAATGTTCAACAAATTCGCTCAAGTGACAACGTGACTGATTTATTTACGAAAGCACTGTCAACATCTACATTTAAGAAATTCGTTCACAGGATTAGAATGTGTCGACTCAAAAATATTTAGTGATCAATAGCAGGGGGAGTAACTATACTCTTTTTCCTTCGCTTAAATTTTATTCCACTGGGTTTTCTTAACAAGATTTTAATGAAGCAACATTTATCTTTAATACTCCAAAATAAATGTACTATTTTTCCTTTGTTTGATTTTTTGTCTCATTGGATTTTTATTAAATAAGGTTTTAACGAAACAAATATTTTGTAATATGTCATTTGAGGGAGATTGTAAATGGTAAGTTTATTAGAGAATGACAATTGTACACATACAACCCTAAAAATTATTACCATTATATCTATAATTCTTCCCTATAAATATAGGGATTTGATTCTCATCATAATACATACAAATCTATTAACTCATATTCTCTCTCCTCTTTTTCTCTATTTTCATAATAAATCACATCTTTTATTTATAATCCGGATCAACGAGGAACCAATTATTATTGTAACCTATTAAAAACAAACTAATGGTCTCTTCTTGAATTGAAGCCAAAGCTCTACAATGGTAAGTTCCAAAAACCAAACCTGCAAAAGGGGATGAGATCTTGAATTACTCTAAAAATTGCTGTGTACGCGTTTGTTTGTACATAATTACCAGTGCTCCACAGATACGATAAATTTCAGTTTGGACTGAATTTATATTACTCACGAGGAAGGTTGGAAGCGTTTTATCTCACTAATTTTTTGATTGGATTAATCTAGCTTAATTCATTTTGCCATAATAGTGTCAAAATTGAAAAATTAATTTTGTTCTATCTTTTTTCTTGAATGAAGTCTTTATTTATTAGCCAATATTTCAAAATTCGAAGAGAACCTTCTAGTCTTTCATTATTAACCCTTAGCTCACTAAATGATTTCGAAGTTTATGAATTTTCGCACGTGTAGAGAAGAATGACGAGGCATAGAACATGAATAAATAAACATTTTTAGTAGCGGAGTTAATTTTTTCGATCAAACATAGTAATGACATTTATATTTTTTTGGATAATGTGATAGTAGCTAGCCACACGATCATGGGCAATGTAGATGAATAGCATTGCGTTTTGCATTTTGTTTGATAAAAAAATAGATATTTTTAACAAAAATTATTAAAACAGTGCACCTCTTTTTCTTTAACCTTAAATTGGGATCTTTTTAGAAAATTGTCAGTCAAGAAAATCGTCGATCCTAGTGAGGCTAAAGAAAGCCCAATGAATCATCTTGATCTTGGGAGATTTGGGCTTAAGTTTCACCTGAAAAATTAGGCTCATCACTCATTTATATCTATTTATAATTTTTTTTTAATTTTTTTCAAATGTGGGCTTTTAAAATATAAATTGAACGATAGGAAAGTTACAAAAATTAGGGCTTGTTCTCTTTACCATTTTCAGACCATTTTCAATTTTCGAAAACATTGAAAACACATTTACTTACCTATTTTCAGAAACAAATTTTCAAAAATGAGTTTAAAATTTACAGAAAATCGAAGCGCTAAAAATGTCGTTTTGGCTGTTTTCAGTTAAAACCAAACCAAACCAAAACTTCATATTTTATTTTTGAAAACAATTTTT